TAAAATAAATAAATAGAAATAATATTAATAATAATTAATATATTCCGTCCGTCTGTCAAATAAAATATTTAGAAATCAATCTCAAAGGGATTTCAAAATTTCTTGGTGATATTTGAAAAATAAATTCATTATGTACTTCAGCGTTTAATATATTAACGTTGTTGAAAAATATTCTTGAGCAGTATGTATTATAATTTGTAAAAAATAAGTTCACATATATAAAGTTTAGCGAATTTATGAGTATTAGTTCTTTATTAAACAATCGAAATTATTTTATTTTTATTTTTTTCAAAATTAATGTCAAGTTTCAGAAAAACCAGAAAATCGTGAAAATCAGAGAACGCTTTTACTATGTGAAGTGTCTATATTTAAAGTCTATTACAATAAAGTATTTTATATCAAATATATATACTAAATGCAAAAAATTCAAACTTAATAATGTAATTATAGCATTTAAAAATTAAAAGTGTAAAATATACTTTTTAGACGCTAATTTGTTACTACACAATAAATGCTGATAAATTTAAACTTATATACTTTTTATATATGAATGCACATAATTGTTTTTCATTTGCAAATAACGATTTTTATTGACATAATGTCTGTCTTTTTAAGGAAAATGTAAAAGTGAATAGACTCTACACCATCATGATTCAATTAACCCTATGTTTGCTGTTAGTAATTCTTATATATGTAGGTTTTATGGATTTTTTGATCTTTTCATAAAATTAGTACTCTTCTGGTGTTTTCTGTTCGATTTCTTCACAAGTAAATTTTTTGTTCATAATCATATGTATATAAAGGTTTGGTTAGTTAAACTTTTTCATTTAAGCTTATGACTTACTCAAAAAAATATCTTGTCTCTAATTTTCAAACATAAATTAGTAATTTATTTTCATTCTTTAATTGCCTTAATAACTGTTACATATAGCAGATTTAATTAATATAAGTATATATATTTAAAATTTATAAAAATAGAATATTTGTAACTAAAATATTTATTAATAAAAAAACTATGAACTCTTTACTTGTACTACCCATTTTACACATTTTATTAGTGACTTCACAGCAGTTACCAAACTCACATTGCGTTTTATTTTGCTCTGCTCAAAAATAAAACGCCTTGCTTGCAACTTATGTTTGGTTTGAAAAAATAAGTTGCGCATAAAGCGTTTTAATTTTACCTTCGGAAAATAATGTTATTTTTAGTTGTTCGTTTTTAAGACAAGAATAATAATTATTTTTGTTATTTAATAATTACGTATTATACATATATATATACATGCATCATATAAGGTATGAATGTTGTTAGAATGGTAACTACATACTTAAAAATGAATTAAAATAACTTTTTGTTATTGCTATTTTTCTTGAATATTTTTGAAATTATTATTATTTTCAGTTCTTAAAAAATAAGCATTTTTGGCAACCACCTCAGAACTAGTTTGAATTCAATAGAGACTTTGCCAAAAAGCTGTATCTTATTTAGTATCCTTTTTCGAAATTAAGGCAATGCTTATACCTTGTAAAAGCAAATAATTCTTAAGTCGAGAAAAATGAGATGCTCTAAATTTTGTCTTTGTTTTCACAAATTCTAGGGGGATTCTAAATTTAGGTAGTACAAGTCTTATATATATCATATTGTCAAAGTGTTTCTGGTGTTAATAATATGATATAATATATGTATATCATATGTATATCACATATATATATGTATAGTTCGTGCTTTTGTTTAATATTCTGTAGTCGATTATAGAAGAATGAAGCAAAACACACGGTAATTTATTACACTAAATAAATATGTTATGTGTCATAATACTTATATATAACACGTAACTAATCAATTTTTTCACTTAATTATATGTGATTTTATTTGTTAAATGTACTTAGACGATTGCCAACTAGAAAATTATATTGACTTTTGAGGTTTTTGTAATAATAGATCTCCTCATATTTTTAAAATAATTGTTTTATTCGTAACACTTGACAACTCTTTTGTTAATTATTTTACGTTACATATAAAAGAAATTTTTATAAGAAACTTTTTACTATGTAAGTTTTTCTTAAGTCAACCACAATAGAGAAATATGCATTTTCTCCAAATTTGCTTACTGTTCTTAGTAGGTGCAATTACATCAACGAATAGTTTATATTCACGACAATCACATCGGTATTCAGACATTAATTTTAGTTTTCGAAAAACCAGCCGCGACCTGTTATCCGATCCATCTATGTCACCAAATGGATTAGGAGGAGGAATAGGAGGTAAGATATTTTAAATGCAATTAATTTGTATGCTTAGCATACTAAGTAAATTCACGAGTTATTGCTCAAGTCGGTAAGTCTTCCTTTCGAACGTACTTAGAGCTACAGCTTCTCATATAATTACCTCTAAAGTAATAATTATTATAAAACTAAAAAGTGAAGTATTAATAGAAATTAAGATTAAGTTAAGAGAAACCATTCAAAATAAATATTAACTATTATTGTATCTGTTTCTTTGCTTTAATAGTACGCAGGATATTTTTAACAAAAATTTTGAAATCCGCAAAAAAATTAAACAATTTTTAATTTACTTTAGATGTTGGCCCCAAATGTAACTATGAAAACATGGAGCTAAATATCGGGGAAAAATATCAGCCTCCAAATAGTTGCCTGGAAATAAGTTGTGCACCGGGAGGAGTTACCAGATATGGAAAGTAAGTTTTCTCTTATCGCAGTAAAAATTATATTTTTTTATAGAAATAGATATATATTTAAAATTTTACATCACTACATTTTTTATTTCGTTTTTATTAAATTTTTAGTTGTGAACCGATTAATGTGCCTAGCAATTGCAAAATGGGGTTGATGGATTTAAGTAGACCTTTTCCATATTGTTGCGTGAGAGAATTGATTTGCTTGAAATAAATAAAATCAAATTAAAAAAAAAATATATATATGGAGACAATTATTATGTATTTAGGACTTTTTTATAATTATTATTTAAACACTATAAGAATTATTAAAATATATTCAAAGCCATTTTAAAGAGAAAACATATCATATTAGTTATAAAAAACTACAATTAGTTAAATAAAACTAATGAAATTATTGACCTTATTTAGTTGTTTAAGGATAAAAGAAGACAAACTTAAGTAAGGAAGACAAACTTAATTTATATGAACTCAAAAAGGTTCTTCTAATTTCAAATAATATGTTATTAATCAAACTTTTAATTTAAAAGGTTTAAATAATAATATTTGCATTTATTCAGTAGAGAAGCGTAGTAAGTTATACCGACAATTTTAATTTTTATAATTAAGCTGCTATAGAGAAGATTAATGAACTTGATAAATATAAGTTCATAAACATATCAAGTATATCTACATATATATGTACATTTCATAGAGAAAAAATTTTATAAGTTTATATGAAGTTTAGCAGAATGTTTAAGAATATTTAGCAGAATATTTGGAAATATCATTTGTAGAGAAAGAATAGTGAAACATTATCTCGTCAAGGTGAGAAATTAAATTTCTTAATAATCCAAAATATACTACAATGTGTAAATACAGAAAATGGAAGATATAAATATTTTTTTTTAAGTAATAAATAATAAATTTGTATTTTTACTATTAAATAGTATATTGCGATCCTACATGATCAGTTCATTATTTATCTAGAGAATATTGGTCGGTTTCAATGTGGTTTCAAATCGAGAGCTTACACAATCAAACAATGGTTTTAAGCGCCAAAAATATTAACGTGAATGAGGTGAATACAATATAAACTTATAATATAATAAGCTTGACTTACCAAAAAACCTAATAAGCTTTGTTAATCTGACAATCGCAAACAATCGATATAAAATAAAAATTTAAGGATAAGCTTGAAAATCATTTACAAAGATCAAAAACCTGATAAAGTTTCACTTATTCTTTAATCTAACATTTTATATATGCTATTCTTAAAGACATAAATCATGAAGGCAATATATTTCATAAGTGCTAACATGGGTATCTGTTCTTGCTTTCTTCTCTAGTTCTGAAAATTAATAACTCCATCAAAGAGGAAAGATTTCATATTAAAATATACTATATTTTAATGGGCAAGACATCTAAAAGGTGTTATAGAAAGTTTTCTGTAAAGTATTTAGCCTATTGCCAAACATGTTAATGGATATTATTTGACCTATCTTAAGATCCATATTATATAGTATCCAACTGTGGTCACAGAATGAGTTTTCACTGGACACACTCCAATTTTTGTTTCTAACCATATCTTTATGAGATATTATGATGATATTTACCAATTCCGTCCGACTTTGGTAGTTGTTGGTGCTTGAGAAATTGAAAGTTGGGTGAGAAAAATGTTTAAATATTTATTGGATACAGTACAAATTCCATGCATGCCTTGTATATGTTTAAAGGTTTTAAGCTCTCCAAGAAAGAGTTTTTATTTCATAACGAATAATAGCTATTTTCATTTTGACAAGCCACATACCATCAAGTAGTTTATTTGTGTTATTGATAATGTCTTTCTAGTTCTCTTTCAAATTTGCACAATAGAGAATATTCATTTTAGCATACCGTATGTCAAACCATAATTCAACCTTTTACAGCGGGCTGTAATGAGAAGAGAGCGGAAACTCTGCTTTAACGATGGACCTATCAGCCATCCGAATAGCAAGATTATGTGGATGCAAGCATTTAATGACTTGGTTACCATCGAATTCTATATTCATTGTCCATATGTGCGGCTTCGGACTGTGAGAAATTTCTTTGGCTAGGATAATGTTGAGCGACAAGCTACTACTGTGTCCTGAATTTTGGCAACGATGATGTTAAGAAATTTCTCAAAATTTTGGTTATCACATTTGATGACGCTATAATAGTGGACAATTTTCATTCACTAGCGCTATATGTAGATGGTGATCGAAAGCCACTTCGTGGTTTAATTTTTTTTATATTATTAAACGGTTACAAGCCGCTCTGTTTCTATCTGCCACTATGCTCTTCTATGACACTATAGCAGGTTCTTCTTGAGATCTATGTCGTTTAGATGCCGTGATATTCTGCTTGAGATTTCCGTAGTTAATTTTTCTTTGTATTATAAAAGAAGTAAAACTATTTGGAAAAACATTCCGACTGAATCGCCTTAACAAAGGTTCAGACTGTATAAACGTTAATGAGCAGCTAAAGATGCTAACTAAATGGCAATAATTTAGAAAAATATTGGCTCTTATATACTTGGAAGAAGGTATATACCGTAAAAACAGAAAAATTTATTTTATAAAAGTCACATCTGTGTACAAACAAATTTAAAACTATTTATAATACATTTATATCACATTAACCCAATTTTGTTGAGAAAATAACAACTAAGAGAAGTTAAGAACAAATCATATTCAAATAATTAAAATAATTATTAAGAAATCAACAAACACAAAAGAATTAATTAACTACATTTCACAAAGTATTATATACAATATAAACAATTATATCAATAATACAGAGATGAGAAATTTTATGATGGGAGAATTATAAATAAAATTTAATCGGTTGCTTGCTTAAATAAATAGGTGGGTTCACTTCTCAACACATATTCTTAAATCATATGTTTAGCAAAGTTTAACTATTAAAACAGGTTTATCTACATTTATTAAACAAATAAAATAAAAAAAAATATTATTGTTGATTATTGAAATAATAAAATATTTATTGTTTAGTTAGAACTACTGTCATCGAAAAAGCAAAAAAAACCGGCAACGCGTCAGTGCTATTTTGCATTTTTTTAACAATAAAAAACTTAAAATATAGACGTTCACTTTCGTAAAAAAATATATTTGTGATAAATTTAAAAGCCGAGTAAAACATTTCATAATCGATTTCAAATTTAGTATAAAAGAAGTGTTCAACGAAATCATTTCAGTAGATTGAAATTCGTTCGATTATAACAGAAACATGAAATTTTATCTTTTCGCTTTGGTTTTAGTCGTTTTTGCTGCAGCAACAGCAAATGCAGCCCAGGCTAAATTGAAACTAGATGATTCAGGTTCTTGAAATAGGATAACAATAATAATAATTATTCAAATCTATCATCGTTGTAATTTTTTACAGACCATCCTGATAAATGTGTGCATAATGGTAAAGTACTTGCGCCTGGTGAAAGCTATCAACCATCGGGGTCCTGTAGTAAAGTAAGTTGTGATAGTAAACAAGGATACGGCACCATCGTAACGTAAGTACAAATAAAAATAATTAAATTTATGTTATTTGAATTTTGTTTTTAAAAAAATTTTTATTTATTAGTTGCGGTCTAATTGCTCCACCACCAAATTGTAAACTAGGCGCTGAAGATTTGAGTAAACCATATCCTGATTGTTGCAAAAGAGACTTCGTTTGTTAATAGGACAAAGTGAATAATGTAGACAATATGTTAATTGAAATGATTATATAGAAAATATATTTTAAATAATACGTAAAGTTAAATTTTCGTTTTTATTTTTTACTAAACGAATTTGTTGATAAATGCAATTTGTTGATAAATAAGTAATAAATATTTAAATTTAGTATGGGTTATAGTAACTACAAAAATAATAGTCGTCTTTGTACTAAGTTTGTGAAAAAACACTAACATTGTTTATGCTAAGAATGATGATGATAATTGTGTATGTTTCTGCGAAGAGAGTGTTGACCCTTTGAAGTCAAATCAAAGGGCTTCAAATCTGATCAAATTTGATCGCAATAGTTTAATGAGCATCGTTGGCATTGCAATAATGCTTCTATAATGAGGTTGGTTCAAGAAAGCATCATAAACGCTCGAAAATATTAGTTTAAATTTAAAATTCAGAGGATTTTTATATAAAATTTTAGGCTCCTCGGGAAGGTATGCAAATCTGAGGTCAATTATTGCTTAGTCTGATGAAGTGATAAACATTAATCCAGTCAAGCCGTAAATAAGGGTTTTGAAGATACCTTGAGTTAATAAAGAGTAAAAGTGCTCAAGTGCACTGGCTCAAATAGGTTTAACATAAAACACTTAATCTTTATGGTTTTAAAATAAAACTTGCGGGTTTTGTTATCAACTTACGCTGTTTATTTTCTACGATTTAAACTTTTAAGTTTAAGCATACAATTCTGAGTGCTGCATTTATTATATAGTACGGATGATCAAGTTCAGTGGGTTTTGGAAAGTCAACCTCAGACTTTAAAAATATTAAATCTTAAAAAAGTTTTCAGGGTTAAGAATTTAAACTAAAATTTTGGACCGTCTAGTAACTCATAGCAAAGTTAGTAAAGGAAATTCTCAATATAGCAACATAACACCCAACTAAACAGCTCCGTCATCCACCTAATAAGCTGCTTTATATAATTAATCTTTCTACCGTCCACTTCCAGTCATTCCACTTCCAATTCTGCTATGAATATTTAAATATAAACTGCTCACCACTACTATTCCATTATATACCCAACAATACTATATATATTATATACCCAACTTGTGAGGGAAACTATCTTCGCACTACAAATTCTACACTAACACAATACTTTGATTACTATTCTCATTTAAGAACTAAGGCCGTGTGCGAATTCAAGTAATTTACCAACATTAAGGGAAATAGTAAATTATATCGGTATAGCAGCGAATGTTAGTAATTACCAAAATTTCGAGTAGGGTAAATTTGATAAAAATTAGGTAAATTAGGTATTACCATTGTGAAAATTTGATAAGATTTTTGATTTGAAAAAGTTTAACCAGAAATAATAAGTGCAATAAATAAATATATATTTACAAATGTGCAGTGCAAAAAATCACTAAGAAATTTCAAGTTACCTTACCGTAATTTACTAGATCTCTCAAACGGTCTAAATATTTTTTTTTTTATTATTTGAAACACAATACGTACAGTAATATAAATACATGTTTCATTTGACTACGAC